GCTGTGTGCCATGGCTCATGCTGTAGTTCCAACACTTTGGGAGGCCAAGGAGGGACGATGGTTTGAAGCCAGGAATTCCAGATCAGCCTGGGGAACAAAACAAGACCCTATCTTTATTTAAAAAAAAAAAAAAAAAAAGATAAATTTAAAAAGAAGCCGTGTGTAGTGTTGCATGCCTATAGTCCCAGCTACTCAGGATGCTGAGGTGATACGAGGACGCCAGGAATTTGAGGCTGCAGTGATCCCTGATCACGCCACTGTACTCCAGCCTGAGTGACACAGCAAAAACCTATCTCACAAAAAAAAAAAAAAAAAATCATACATCTCCATGTCAAGGACAGGAAAAAATGAGGACCCTCCAACATTGCTAGTGAGAATGTGAACTGATACAGCTACTTTGGAAAACTTTGGCAATGTTTACTAAAGCTAAACATGCGTACACTCTATGACCAACAATTCTATTCCTGGCTATATACTTGACAGAAATGAGTGCTTCTGTCTACCAGAAGACAAGTACAAGTACGAGAATGTTCATAGTAGCTTTATTCATGATAGCCTACACTGGAAAAACCCAATGTCCATCAACAGAAGAATGGGTGGGTACATTGTGTTGTACTCATCCAGTGGAATATTACGTGACAATAAGAAAGAACAAAGTACTGATAATAAAACAACATGGGTGAACCCTGCATAATTTTGATTGAAAGAAAAAAAAGAAGTCTGATACGAAAGAATACACACGGTATGACTGCAATTTTATGAAGTTTGAAAACTGGTGCAACTAACCTATAGTGGTAAGAGGCCAGACCGGGTTACCCAAGGGTGTGGGATTAACTTGCAGGGGACAGGAGAGTCCTCAGAAGTGCTGGAATTGCTCTACTCTTGATCTGGGTTGTGAGTACATGGGAGAATATGTATTCAAAGTTGATTTGTACGTATTACTGTATCCGAATTATACCCCAGTAAAATGGAAAAAAAATATAGATGCCAATCATTAAGTGTTGTTACTAAGTCAGATCTTTATGTCAGATGCAGCCTAAGTTTCTCCTATATTTGACATTTCTCATAGGCATATTGTAAGAAAGGAAAGAACCAAGCTGTTTCTTCTATGATATTGGGAGTACTCTTCAGCTGGGCTGCTCCAGAAATCATTAATCATTAGATTTGGGCAGCTGCCATCTGATTTCTTTTTTTAAAATAATCACTTGGATATATTCTGCCTCTGCTGATGGGATTTAGACACAGCTTGAGAATAATAACACTCTGCTTTTTATGGGCAATTTTATTTTCTTCAACCACAGATTCAGGAAGAATGAGTTTGTATAGTATGTCAAAATCTATCAGCAAAAAGACCGTGAGGGCCATACCTGTAGTTGATAAAAGTTAGGTTTATCTGGCATGCTGCAGCGGGAAGAATGCATGAATCTTGGGACCATCTTAGTAAGGGAGACTTGAGTTTGTGCTTGTGTTGGATGCCTCCGAGAAGGGATTAGGGAAGCCAGAGCCAACTCTGGATTGAATGCTGTTAGGAAGCAGGGAGGATTGATGCAATTCACAAGGTTAGCAGGGCCACAGGGCAGCAGGGCAGTGCTGGGCCACAGCAGAGTGGAAAGTGGACCAAAAGAGGCACATGGAGAATACCTAGCACAACTGCCTATGTACCCTCCCTAAACTAACTGCCAGAGGAAACACTTCAGCCAAATGAAAAAATGAATGAGATAAGTTAGCTGGAAGACAAGGAAGGCGTAATATGTTAAACATGGCAACAAGCGAAAAACCAGTAAAATTTATTGTTATGTATATGTAATTATTGATATTGTTACTGTGGAAAGATTCTTGACTAAATTCTCATAAAAAGATATATGCTTATTATAATAATGAATACAGAAAGTACTGAAAAGGCTTTTTCAACTGCCCCAAACGCCACTACCCCCTAACAATTATCTTCAACATTTGTCGGTTATCATTCTAGACACTTTCTATGCAAATCCATAGAGAAGCCTAGATATAAATAATTTTATGATGTAGACTGCGAAGAATTTCATATTAGGGATGCACTAAAGCTTAGTTGTGGACTTAGTATTTGGCTCACATCTGCTATTCAACTATGACTTTGGCTCTAGCCCTTACAAGGTTAAATAGCCAAATACCTTCTTCAGTATCACTTGTGACATCCCTGAACCTGTGTGTGATCCATGATCATGACTGTGTTGATTTCTGTCATATCTTATCAACATAACAATATCAGTAAATGAACCACGCCATGTTATGTGAATTTATTGTTAGTATCTGAATATTCACTTTCACATAGAGGTAACCATTCAAGATACAGAATCATGAAAATGTCCTTGGCTTTATATGCCAAAATTCTATTAGGTCATTTGAGGTATACATGTGTATTTAATACTTCATAAGTAAAGTGCTATAATAATTAATGATTATTTGAAAGCTGCTAATTGTGTACACAAAAACAATGACTAAGAACTTTCAAAAAATATGGAAATAGATTGAAAGTTAATGCAATTTTAATGAGAAAGTGTGCTAACTAGGTATCTTTAGAAGAACTTTATATTGTTTTAAGGTCAAGAGGTGTTTATAGGCCAGGTACGGTGACTCACGCCTGTAATCCCAGCACTTTGGGAGGCTGAGGCAGGTGGATCACGCTTGGCCAACATGATGAAACCCCATCTCCACTAAAAATACAAAAAATTAGTGTGTGGTGGCGTGCACCTGTAGTCCCAGCTACTTGGGAAGCTGAGGCAGGAGAATCACTTGAACCTGGGAGGCAGAGGTTGCCGTGAGCCGAGATCACACCACTGCACTCCAGCCTGGGCGACAGAGCAAGACTCTGTCTAAAAAAAAAAAAGAGAGATGTTTATAACAACTTAAGTAACACAAGCCAGAATACTAGTGATTATATTATATCATGAAATTGTTGGCATAATAGTATTCATAATATGAATAAAAATAATTTTTTTTTTTTTTCAGGCAGAGTCTTTGTCTGTCACCCAGGCTGAAGTGCAGTGGTACGACGTAGGCTTATTGCAACCTCCGCCTCCGCCTCCCAGGTTCAAGCGATTCTCATGCCTCAGCCTCCCAAGTAGCCGGGATTGCAGTTGAGCACCACCACGCCAGGCTGATTTTTGTATTTTTAGTACAGACGGGGTTTCACCATGTTGCCCAGGCTGGTCTCAAACTTGTGGCCTCAAGTGATCCCCTGCCTTGGCCTCCCAAAGTGCTGTGATTACAGGCATGAGCCACTGTGCCCAGCCTAAAATAATCCTTAATAGCTCTATTACTTCTGTTTATTTATTATACATTAGAAGGCATAAAAATACATGCCACAAGCAAAGAAGATATTTATAACATGTGTATAATCAACAACTGTATCTAGTATGTGCAGATAACGCCTATAAAATAGTAAGAAATATGGAAGTAATTCAATAGAAAAATTTGCAAGTTTCCTTCAGAAAAGGAAACATGAATGGGCAGTAAATGGATGGAAAATACTCAACTTTATTAATAATCAGGGAAACTTAAGTCTAGAATAAGATACCATTTACATCCATTCAATTGGCAAAAACTAAGAAGTATGGGCTGGGCACTGTGGCTCACACCTATAATCCCAGCACTTTGGGAGGCCAAGGTGGGAAAATCACTTGAACTCAGGAGTTCCAGTCCAGCCTGGGCAATACAGTAAGAGCCCCGTATCTACAAAAAAAATTTTTTTTAATAGCTAGGCATAGTGGCATGCACCTGTGTTCTCAGCTACTTGGGAGGCTGAGGTGGGAGGATTGCTTGATCTGGGAGGTCAAGGCTGCAGTGAGCCAAGATCGCACCACTGTACACCAGCCTGGACAACAGAGTGAGACCTTTCTCCAAACAAACAAACAAACAAATACCCTCCCCCGCAAAAAACGAAAAATTAAGGGGTATGATAATACTTTTTTTTTTAAGAGATGGGGTCTTGATATGTTGCCCAGGCTGGTCTTGAACTCCTGGGCTCAAGCAATCCTCTCACCTCAGCCTCCCAGAGTACTGGGATTTCAGGCAAGAGCCATCATGCCTGGCCAACTTTCTAGAGAGAATATTGGTCAGTGATATCTCTTATACATTAATGGTTGGTGTCTATCCACTCTGGAAAAACAATTTGTCATTATCTTGTGTTATTGAACATACCCAGATATTCGACTCTTGGATATATACCCAGGAGAAATTCTTGCACAGGTATATCAGAAGACATCTGACAGGAGTGTAGCCGGTAGCACTATATGTAAGAGCACAAATAAAAGAACCATTCAAATGCCTGTTGACTACAGACTGGATAGACTGTGCTGTGCTCACACATGGAATGCGACACAGCAGTAAAAATGAATGATATCCCTTTCCATGCCACAACATGGATAATCTTAGTAACATAATTTTGAGCAATAAAGCAAATCTTGAAGATCACTCTTCTTATAAAGATCAAAAACAAGCAAAACAAAACCATATTTCATGTAGGCATCTACATAGACGACATTCTCAAATAGTGGTTACCTCTTGGGGAGGCATGGATAGAACTAAGTGATCGATAACATTTAACTCCTGGGATGAGTGTTGAGCTCATTTTTTATTATATTATTTTTTAAAACAAACAATATATAATGTCTAATCCTCTAATGCTATTAGAATCTTCATTGCCTTCAAACTCAGCTGGGTCAAGAAGTCCCCTTCTAGGTCAGACTCCCACTCCCTTGAGTGATGGTTGCTGCAACCATTTCTGGTGTGAATCATTTTACTGGTCAAGGTTCTTGGTTGCAGACAACAGAACCTGCAATACTCTGTTTAAACAGAAACGGATGTATCACAAGGTATTGGTTGCTAGATAAAGCTGAATTTTGAGACAATGCGTTGTGGTTGATGTGGCATCTTGGGCGATACTGGTTATGAGTAATATAAGGAAGGCTCTTAGGTCAGGTTCCCGAGAACAGAGTCTGATATGAATATTCTTGTTTCAGTGATTTATGAGAGCAGTCCTATCAGAAGAAGAGGTGGGAGAGAAGCAGGATGGAACAGAGGAAGAAAACTAAGCAAGTGTGTGGATACTGTCTTCAGCTTGGACCCACAGGGAGCACTGGAGCATAAATTATACCACAGACTTTGTTTCCGTTTGAGGCTGGTGGGATGGCCCTTTGTACCCCAGAGAGGGTGCAGAACTTCCTGAAGGAGTTGACTCCATTTGGTTGAGAACATGTAATTATTTAGAGAAGGAGCAGCTAACTCTCACAGCGACTGAGGCAGGGTGCACTGACCAGGGCAGAGCACCAACGGTGAACCAATGCCACCCAGACCTCATGGGGGAAGGGTGGGGATAACCTGGGGCCAGATCAGAACTGGGTGGAGGTGGGACACAGCAGGACGGGAGGAGCAGAACCGAGAGGGTCTGTGTTTCCTGTGTACCCTGGAAGCACAAGTCTGGGTTCTCTGAGCCTCAGGCAGCACTGACCTTTCTTCCCCATCTGGACATGAGAAGGACAGGCCAAGCCCTTTCCTCAGCACTTTTTTTTTTTTTCTTTTTGAGTTGGAGTCTTGCTCTGTCACCCAGGCTGGAGTGCAGTGGTGTGATCTCGGCTTGCTGCAACCTCTGCCCCCTGGGTTCAAGCGATTCTTCTGCCTCAGCCTCCTGAGTAGCTAGGTTTACAGGTGCATGTCGCCATACCTGGGTAATTTTTGTATTTCTGGCAGAGATGGGGTCTCACCGTGTTGTTTAGGCTGTCTCAAGCTCCTGACCTCAAGTGGTCTGCCCACTTCTCAAAGTACTGGGATTATAGGCATGAGCCACTGCGCCCAGCCCCTTTGTTCAGCGTCTCATTCCAGGTTCTGAGTCCTGAGCACCTCACCCTGAGGTGCTCTTTACGGGAAAAATCTCACTGCAGTGAGGACGTTCCAGCCAGGAGTAGGGTGAGTGGGGGAGCTCCTGAGGCAGGGCCCTCCAGTTACTATGTAGCCCCTGCCACCTCCCTGTTCCTGGGGCAAAGAGAACCAAACTTCTCTGTCAGCAGCCTCCTCCCTTCCCCTCCCCTTGGGCCTTGGCCTTGACCTCAAGCTAACGTGGTATCTGATTCATTAGGTGGTGGGCAGTTTTTCCCAAGTTGCCTGCCTCAGTCTGGACTGGAACATTCTGGCCTCACAGGCGGGCTGGCCCTTGCCCTCACAGGAAGCTTTAACCCTTGCTCTGCCAGCATGATTCTCCAGGGCCACAATCTGGGGTTATGTTTTCTCCAGAGTGGCACCGAACGGGAGCTTGTGGAGAGTTTAGACACTCAACACCCTTCCTCATTCTCCCCCAAGCCAGGCAGAAAATGCCCAATCTGAGTAAAAATAATTTGTCCCCTAGCCCATCCCCTGTTGTAACACAATTGCGACCCTGTGCCCTTTTACATAGACTTTCTGGGGTCACCACTGGTGACATCACTAGCCAAGTGGCCTTAGAATCCTTACCTCTGCTTTCTGCCTTTATTCCCCTCCCACAGCCACATGCCTCCTCTCAGGGGTCAGGGCTTGTCTCCCCCTCCCCTCACAGAAATGTGTATTTTAATGATCACTCATGCGGGCAAGTAAAAGTCTGCAAACTGAGGCAGGTCTGGGTGGGAGACATTTCAGGACAGGGTCTTCCAGTCCTCACATCCTATCAGGAGATGGGTAGGGGACCTCCTGGTGGGATGGGGGTGGGGGATCAGCATGGGAGAAGGGTTTTCCTGGGCAGGAGGCCTTGGCCAGAGGGGTCCACCCCAGTCTAGCTGGCTTTCCTTCTCTCCTTACGTGTTAGTCTGTTCTCGCTTTGCTATGAAGAAATACCTAAGACTGGGTAACTAATAAAGAAAGGAGGTTTATTTTGGCTCATGGTTCTGCAGGCTGTACAGGAAGCATCTGCTTCGGGGGAGGCCTCAGGGAGCTTACAATTGCTGTGGAAGGCGAAGGGGAGTCAGTGCGTCACATGGCGAGAGAGAGAGAAGATAGGAGGCGCCACACTCTTTTAAACAAGAAGATCTCTCGTAACTCAGCGAGAAATCACTCATTATTACAAGGGCAGCACGAAGCCATTCATGAGGTATCCACCCCCGAGATCCAAACACCTCCCACTAGGCCCCACCTCCTACACTGGGGATCGCATTTCAACTTGAGATTTGGAGAGGACAAACATCCACACCATATCACCCTAGTCCTCACCTTGGGGGATGCTGAAGGAAAGACAGAGTCTGTTTTTTACCCCTTGCTGCTTTGGTGGGAAAGTACCCTGTGACCTGGGTCAGGATGCCATGTTCCAGTCCAAAAGGTGCCAACTTCCTCTTTCTCTTTTCCCTACTCTTGTCCAGCCTTAGCATCCGCTCCTGCCCCAGCCTCGGCAATGCCTGTCTCTGTGGCTGCTGTGCTCAGTGGGTGTCTTTTGCCTCCAGTAGCCCATGGGTAGGGGAGGGCAGAATCTGGACGCCACACCCTCAGCCCATCCCTTCTGTGCTCTGCAAAGTGGGCGGGGGGCCACCTTTGACCCTCTGGTTTTATTGATTCATCCTTCTTTCTTGCATTTTAGTCTCTAAGTCAATTAGTTCTTCTCTGTAGCCTATAAACATGATAAAGCCTCCATTATTTTAAAAACTCCCCAAATCTCCCTCTACCAAACTTCCTTTTTAATTTTTTAAGTGATTTTTTATTTGTATGCATTTATGGGGCACAAGTGTAATTTTGTTACGTTGATATTTTGTATAGTGGTGAAGTCAGGGCTTGTGGTGGATCTGTCACTGGAGTAACATACATTGAACCCATTCAGTGATTTCTCGTCATCCATCCCCTTCCACCCTCTCGCTCTTCTGAATTTCCACTGTCATTCCACACTCTACTTCCATGTGTACACATTATTTAGCTCCCACTTATAAGAGAGAACACGTGGTATTTGTTTTTCTGTGTCTGAGGTGTTTCACTTAGGATAATGGCCTCCAGTTCCACCCATGTTGCAGTAAAAGACATGATTTCCTTCTTTTTTATGGCTGAAAAACCATCCTACCCCATTTTCTCACCTCTCCCTTTTCCCTCGTCTTTTTTTTTTTGAGACGGAGTCTCACTCTGTCGCCCAGGCTGGAGTGCAGTGGCCGGATCTCAGCTCACTGAAAGCTCCGCCTCCCGGGTTCACGCCATTCTCCTACCTCAGTCTCCCGAGTAGCTGGGACTATAGGCGCCCGCCAACTCGCCCGGCTAGTTTTTTGTATTTTTTTAGTAGAGACGGGGTTTCACCGTGTTAGCCAGGATGGTCTCGATCTCCTGACCTCGTGATCCGCCCGTCTCGGCCTCCCAAAGTTTTTTTTTTTTTTTTTTGAGACAGAGTCTTGCTCTGTTGCCCAGGCTGGAGTCCAGGGGCATGATCACAGCTTTCTGCAGCTTTGAACTCCTGGGCTCCAATGAGCCTCCTACCTCCCTTGTCTTTATCAGAGCCAAACACGACAGGATTACCAAGTAGACAAACAAAGCACATGCTTGAGGCACCAACAAAGAAGGACAACACAGCAAATAAGCATTATTGAACAGGGGAAGGACAGTTATTTTTAATACAAATGTGCAAGTAAATTAACTGCAATTAAAATAATTTAGAAAGTTTATTTTAATTTTAACATTTATATATTTTTATGTTATTTTGAAAATTAAAAAAACCTCATTTTGTATTACTTGTAGGAGGATGGGAACCATAATCTTTTAAAGGTGTTAATTCAGCCCTGCGGTCAAACCTTACTCCTCAACCCCCTGCAGCTTCAGACACCATCATGTCCTAACTGCTCCCCCCAAGGTCACCAATGAGTGTCACTGGGATAAATCCAATGGGCGTGTTTCATGCTCAGCTGTGACCCTCTCAGCAGAAGTCAACTTTATTCTCAAACAGCTCTCCTGGTTCCCTTCCACTTCTTACTCCCCTCCCTTCCTGACTTCCTCAAGGTTCTTCTTCCTAGAAATGTTTGTGGTGTTGGAGCTCTGAGCTGGGTCTTCCTCTCCCTCTCCACAGTTCCACTCCTCCCTATGGTTTCAGTCACTATACACTTAGGATTACATACTGTCTACACTTAGGTTACATCTAAATATCTTCCCAGCTCACCCTTGGCTCCTTAGCTCTAGGCCTTTATATCCAACCATGAACTCTTTCAGGTACTTAAATTCACTAAGTCCGAAATTGATGCCTTATCTCCCCCATGAACCCTTCCTTCTCCAGCCTTCCCTGTGTCAGTGAGAAGCATTTTCATCCACTCAGGTCCCAAGCTCAAGCCTTTCTGTCCTACGACCTCACCCACAACCAACAGTTCTGTTGGCTCCACTTCCTCAAAAGCTTGCATTTGCTCACTTCCCTCCATTTTCATGGCCACCTCCCTTGTCCTAGTCACCCTTACAATTGGCAGGTCACAACTGCCTCCTATTAGGCTTCCCCATCTCTACTTCCTCAACCCATTTTTCATGCTGAAGCCAATGTGGTGAAGTTTCTATGGGTCCTCATTGGCTCAGCATAAATCCAAGCTCCTAGGGTGACATTCCAGACTTCCCACATTCTGGTTCCTGACACCACCTCAGCATAGCTCTCCTCACTCTTGGCTACCTGCTCTCCGCTCCAGTAGTATTTAACTACCCGGAGCTTCCCCTCCACCCGCACCACACTGTTGCTCCCCTCTGCCACCTGGGCTACCCTTTCCCTCCTCTTCCTCCTACTGTTTTTTTTTGGGGGCGGGCGGGGGGACAATCATGACTGGGTAGGTGATGATGGTGACTTGGACTTGGGTGGTAATGATGGAGGTGGTGAGAACTGGTAAGATTCTAAACATATTTTGAAGGCAGATACAACAGGACTTGTTGATGGATTTGGATGTGTGGGGAGAGAAAAAAGAAAGGAAACCAGGGTTTTTTTTGTATTTTGCCTGAGCAACTGGAAGGAAGGAGTTGCACTGAGATGGGAAGATAGTGAGAAGAGTGGGTTTGGGTGGGAAGATAAGAAGGACAGTTTTAGATGTGTTAATGGAAATGCCCCTTAGAAATCCAGTCAGGTATTAGAGTCTGGATTCAGGGGACTGATCTGAGCTGGAGCTGCACATTTGTGAGTCATCAGTGTGTGGGTGGTATTTAAAACCACAAGAGTGGGCCAGCTGCAGTGGCTCATGCCTATAATCCCAGAGCTTTGGGAGGGGTGAGAGGACCCCTTGAGGCCAGGAGTTTGAGACCAGCCTGGGCAACATGCAAGATCCTGTCTCTACAAAAAGTAAATAAATAAATTGGCCAGCATGATGGCACATGCCTGTAGTCCTAGCCACTGGGGAGGCTGAGGCAAGAGGATGCCCGGGAATTCAAGGCTGCAGAGAGCTATGATCACACCACTGCACTCCAGTATGGGTGACAGAGCAAGATCTTGTCTCTAAAATAATAATCTTAACAATAATAAATAGAAATAAAACCACAAGAGTAGATGCAGGCACTGAGGATATAAATGTGAATAGAAAATAGAAGAGACCCAGGAGCCCTCAGAGCCTCTGATATTAAAAGGCTGGAGAGAAGAGCCGGAGAAAGAAGCAGTAGTCATGTAGGAGGAAAATCGGAAAATGTAGCATTCCGGAAGCCTAGAGAAATAGGGG